TCTACTGAGCTATCTCCCAGGGCCCAATATTTCTAATATAATATTCCCAAGTCTATCGACTTAATTTAAATCAAGGAATATCAAATCAAGTAAAAATATATGGTCACCTGCTCTTTGAAAGCAAGCAGCTTCTTCTTGATTTTTATTGTATGCATCTTGCGCTTCGCTTCGACAGCATATAGTATGCATCTTACTACATTTTTACAGCATAAGTTTAAAAGGCAATGTCTAAAGATTTTGGTATTGGTGAGAAAATTGACAATTAGTGTCAGTTTTTTTTATTTGTAATTTTATTTTTCTTACATATTTGGTACAGGATCTCACTATGCAGCTTGGACTCATAGTGATCCTTCTGTTTTCTGCCTCCCTAGTGCTGGGATTGTAGTTGGGACGTGCACCCCTACATCCCAACTCTGAGGCCGGTTAGGCCTAAGCCCCGGGGGGCAGGGCCGGAGCAGCTGGAGCTTAGTCCTCCACGGAGCAGAGGCGGCCCTCAGAGATGGTTTCTCAGATGCTTATTACGAGGCTAAGGGTGGGGTAGGCTTGCCAAAGAATGGAAAGGATGCGGGGAACATGTAACATTAGCTGTAGCCATGAGCGAAAATAAGAATGAAAGCCCATGAAAAAGCACACCAGAATTAGCTGCTGACATTTAATTTTCATCATCAACATTATTATTATTTTGAAGGTATTTGGTTGTTGCAGGGTCTAACTATGCAGCTCAGATTTGCGGTGATTCTCCGGCTTTCAGCCTCCCCAACACGGGGTTTACGGGCTTGCGCCGCTATGCCTGGATTCAGCGGCCAGCTCAGCACGCATGAGGTACTGGGGATCGAACCCCAGTACCTGTGCTTGTCTATGCAAGTGCTTAGTCCACTGAGCTATCTCATCAACCCTCAGCTGGTTTTGTTTTTTTTTTTTTTTTTTTTTTAGAGAAGAAAAAAATACCAAGAATAAAGACAAAAGCAAAGCAACATAGAACAATAAAAATGGTACAGAATTTCAAAACAAGAATAGAAAATTATCAGTGGTCCTTATATGACATATTATCACCAAATTTGTTGCTCAGATTACCAGGTACAGGCATGCCAGATTGATCAAGCAGTTAAACGTTAACTCTTCTTTGCCCTTAGTGGCAATTTAGCTGGTTTTTAAAATAATAATGGATCACACTTACCTCTAAAACTTGGCCTGGTCGTGCTAAGTAGACACGCAGAATCTATGACCATGGGAGAACTCAGTGGCCCCTTACATTTTCAGGAATCCAGGATAGTCAGTTTTGTTACTTGGAGACACAACCCTCACAATTTAGGGCAGGAGAAGCTTAATCTGACGCGCTGTTTCCAAGGCTCTTGTCCGTGGTCAGCGGGCTCCAGGGCAGAGACGTCAAGATGAAAGGGTGAATGTGGAAGATAGAGGACAGACGCGCAGGTCCTGAGGCCAGGAAGCAGAGGCCAGCAGTGCCAGAGAGGCAAGAGCAAGGGACTAGATAGAATACTAAGTCTCATTTCCATGACCGACCTACCCAAAGGGTCCCCCACCCGTCCCCTGCACAGGTCCCAAGCCAATCAAGTCGGTGCCTTCCAGATTAAGTATCACAGGCTTGAGGGACATGCCTTTCTTACATACCATGTATTAAAGTTGTTCGTTTTTGAGCAGCTACTTTGAAGAAAGCACAAAGATCATTGGTTGCTTAACGAAGGAAGAGATGGTGTTCTCTCCCTTGTTTGGGGGAAGGAGCAAGGAAAAGAAGAGATAAGCTTGGAAGGGAGAGGGTCTGGGAGAGACAG